GATATATCGTGACGAATTCGACGGTTTAAGTCTTAGTCAAGTAAAATGAATTTTTACACTAACTCCCACAGTTATTCTTTACATATCAGGAATAATTTATTATCTTTAACTTATTTGATACTAGGTGGGCATGACTCCTTACACGGATGAGATCCTTGTTGCTTTGCCTACCCAATGTTTAGAGGGGAGAGACATATGGCGAGCTCGAGTACCCCTTATTAGCTGGAAGCGTACCGAGTGGCATCTACCTGACCATGTTATGAGGCAATTTGGGGGAGTACAATTAACGAATATTCCACCTATGGAACCAAATTTTAGAAGGATTGATGGAAGAGGTCGAGAAGATTTAGATTGGACAATACAGTATAGGGATTACCTTGAGATATGGGAAGAAAGGCAAGCATATGTTGTACCAATAATTCCACCAGAAGGCACAGGTAATCGAGAGTTAGGCACTTACCTACGGTGGTATAGATCGTGGGCATCGATTTATCTGTTGCAGCCATAGACGGATCCACCAGAGACTTTCTTCCCTCAATCTCCAGGAGAACGATTAGTGGTATGTAAGTGTATTTAATAATAATTTTTAACATTTTCTTTAAAGAGGATAATTTAACAAACATATCGCATCTTCTAGGCTGACTACTACATACGTTCAACTGCTATTCTAGAGCCATTGGTTGGAGGTCAAGGACAAAATGCAAGTTCATTGCAATTAGCAGTTGACCAGGTAGCCGAATTATCTTCTAGAATACAACGTTCAGTTTATATCGACTATACAACTTTTGACACCACAATAGAAGAACAGAGTCAAGGTAGGGCTGAAGGAGCAAGACGGTCAACCTCTGATGCTCCTTCTAGATCCATGAGAAGTCGTCGACGCCAAAATATGGAGCGTGAACCATCTAGACATTCAATGCATATTCCGTCGTCCTCCTATGACATGACTGGGGCAGGGCCATCAACACAACATTGGAGAACAATTCCTATGCAAGAAAGTATTGCATATGAAATATATTATGGTACACCATCTCAGCATCCCACAACGCAATCATTTTTTCCAGTTACAGTCCCAGAGTGGATGTCAAATGTAGGGTTATCGTCCTCCCCCACACAGTAAGATATACTATTAATGGGAGGAGAAACATCACAACAATACCCTGTTGCGGCACAACGTCGACCAGAATTGCAAGAATAAGAAGAGAATTTTATTGAGGAAGAGCAACAGCTACAACGACGAAGAAGAAGGGCCCCAGATAGGTATACGCCTGGTAGTAGGGCTCTCTAGCGTCATCGATAGATAATCTGTAATAATATTTTCTCTTATTTATGCTGCCTTCTTTATTTGTGTGTGAATGTAAATGTTAATGTTTGATGACAACTAAGGTTAAATTGCACCCGTAATTTAATATCTACCACTTTATGCACTCTTCTTTATGGTTATTAGTAAAGGTAATTTTCTTTTTTGACTTCTTTTAATTTTTATTTCACTAAGTAATTTTTACTAGAATTCACTTTCTAAAATGTATTTGTAAAATATAGCTCTTATAATAGGGTTTCATATTTTCTTAACTAATTTCACCTCTTTTTTACCTCCATGCAACATAGGACAACGCTTGTCTACATAAAAGAAGAAGGAAGTACCCATTTACATGAAAGTTTGACTAATACTACAAATGATTTCGTAGAAGCAAAAGTAACAAGAAATGAAAGTTTGGATGATAGCAGCAGTGTCGAAAGCAAACAATGAATTACAGAGGGTACTATCCGGGTGTGTGAAAGCTTATCTTATCCTACCGATGAGGACCTTGAAGCCAGGGTATCATCAAATGAACTATTCAGGTGTGTTATACATACTTGGGATGAAGATGAAAATTTCTTACTGTGGCACTTACATGATGATACAATAAAAGAGAAGGAATATAGAGGTAACACTGCACGTCGAGAGTTAGGCTGAAAATGTATACAAGAAGGCTTTACCGATTTTAAGCACCACCTTGTGGCAAAAGATTTCCTGAAAGGTCGAATTCTAGAACTTTGTCGTGCTAAAAATGGTGACATTGAACCGGGTTTGGGAAGGTCCATGATGGATATAGATAATTGTATTTTATACTTCTACTGGATGCCTAAACATGATAAGCACATGTTAGATTCTTATAAACAGTTGTTGCGAAGTTCTAAACATACTAAAGTAAAAGAATTTCTTAATGGAGAAAATTGGCAGCAAATACAACATCAAGTTCAGATCAACTTCAAGTGTTGTCCTACACAAATACAGATCCAAAATTGTCTACGATATCTACTTAACAATATGAATCAGTAACTTCAAAAATGTACTTTATGTTGTTCTTTCGGTATAAATTTAAAATGTAATTCCTCTTGTAATGTTGATGCTTAATATTTTTGTTTTATTAATGTAACTCTACTTTTCAAATCATTTCGTTTAAATTTAATGTATTATTATTTTTATAATGATAACTCATTTTGCGTTTGCTAAAAATTCAGCACTTAATATCTTCATCATCAAGTACATCATCAATAAAGCACTCGCCATCAAGAGATTTCCTACATATTATTCCAAGAAAGAAGTTGATCTATGATGATTCTATTCGATTGTCAGAATCTATGTCGTATCCCATGGATGAATACTTGGAAGAGAAATCAAGATCAAATGAACTTTTCCGATGTTGTTTACATGAATGGTCTTGGTATGAAGATGATAGTTTATGGGATGCGTATCATGAAGTTATTAAAAGTCATTACCCCATGTATGTGGATGGAGAAACAATTACTGATGTCGGCTGGAAATTTGTACAACAAAGGTTCAGGGATCATAATGGTCATTTTGCTCCCATAAATATTCTTAGAACAAGAATTGGAGAAATCGCACGAAAAAAGATGGTTCTGTTGTTGTCAATGTTGAGAATCCAAGAACTGATGTGCAACATTGTATTCTTTATAAAAGGTGGCATACTTATCAAGATGGATTTCTATCAGAAAAATATCAAGAGCTGAATATTATAGATGGTAAAAAGAAGGAGTTCTTAAATATAAAAGATTGGCAATACATCCAAAAGCAGTTCACAGAAAAATTTTTATGCTGTCCAACTTTAACCCAACTCCAAGCGCGTATGCGCATAGTACTGAACCACATGTAATAATTATTTTTTTTATGTTTCTTTCAATCATTATCGTATGTATTAACATGAACTTGTGTTCATTACTTTTAACACTATTTCTATTCCAACTACAGGTTCATAGCACTTCAGCCATAATTAATTTTTTTTTTAAATTTTATGATATTCTAAAAAATTCTAAATCAATTATACCGACTTCTAAATTATAAATATTTTTTATAGATTTTCCTTTATATTTATTTTATTCTTATTATTCTCATCTCTCAATATCTAATTCACATGTTTATAAATAACTAAAATCAATAATAACTACATTATTAAAATTTTAAATATCATACTTCTGAGATATAAATTATTTTGATTTCATATTTATAATTATTTAATATTAATATTTATTTTTATTGATTATATTTGAAATTTCTCACACTTAGAAGTTTTTATAAAAAATTTTCAAATTCACATAAAATACAATTTATTCATACCTCTAATTTTAACAAATAACTAACAAACAAAGTGGGACGTAACAACTACTAATATGTCCTTTATTCTAAATGAAAATCGCTAAGGTTGGGCAAGGTAAAGAAACATGTTTCTTGGCACATTCATCGGTTTAAACATGTTTCTTGCCAAGAGCCTAAGGTAAAGAAACATGTTTCTTGACAAGATGCTAAGGTATGATTGTTTAAAAAATAGTTTATTTCAACTATCAACTATAACAAGCTAAGTATTGTTAAACATTTCACTCGAACTATACTCTATTTATAAGAAATTTTAATTTATATAATCTAACACTTTTTTCTTCATTTGCTCACATAAATATTAACCTAATTTACTCTAATTATTTATTTTATGAAAAATAAGGCATCCAAACTCAAATTATATAAATTTTTTAAAAAAAAATATATAATATATAAAAAAATCTCTTTCCACCTTTATTATTCTTCCGGTTAATAAATTACTTCTTCTAAATCTCTTAATAGCAAAAGTAATTAATGTATATAATTTCTAAACTATTTGTATATTTGAAATTTTTAAATTTCTAATATTCCTGGAAAAATTTCCTCTTTCTCAAGCCATAATGGAGATTATTTTTTCAATAAAATTACATCTTATTTTATTTAATAATACAAATTACATTTTTATAAAGGTCCAATATGCAAAAGAGAAAAAATCAACGCTACAATTTAATCCGTAACTCATTCATAATGATAAGCTTTGTTAAAAATCGATCACTTCGAACGAATTTCATATTTCAAAAATCTCTCATAAACCAAATCTTATAAAAAAAAATCTATTTCATAATAAAATACATTTCGTTCAATACTCAAACTTTTACAAAACTAACATACAATGCGGGACGTATCAACTAATTATAAAAAAAATTGAATGATTGCTACAAAAATTATTACTATACCGTATCAAAACATAACATAGAATAATGCTGATTCCTATAAACATTTTTAAATAAGAAAATGCATCAAATTTGAGGCAAAAATTCTCCTGCAAAAGCACTAAATGCATAGAAGCAGAAAAAAGGAAGAATTCGCCAAATACTATCGCGCAGTTAAGGAAATGTGATGAATGCGCCAATTCATTAGGCGCATTCAAGCAATGCGCCAATTCATTAGGCGCATTCAATACTATCACGCAGTTAAGGAAATGTGATGAATGCGCCAATTCATTAGGCGCATTCTATGAATGCGCCAATAAAGCCGGCGTATCGGCTCCTCCTCAAATTCTTTAGCAAATATGCTTCTTCTCCTAAATTAAACTGCTGACAAGCTCGTTTCAAAAATTTGGCCAACTTTTAACAAGAGGGCTATTTATAAGATAAGATCCAAGTTCAAACAAGTTAAAATCAACTTCAAAAAAAAAAAAACTCATTTTTTTAAAGTTTATACGAGAAATTGAGAGAACGCCTCGCTTGAGGGCAAACATCTTATCAACACTTTTGCTCGAGTACGATACACACGAGGACTTCACCTTCGCTACGCCTCGTTTACCCTCTCAGGTCCTCAACCCACCACGTACACCCGACCAGCTATACAGCTGTCACCCACCAAAATCTAACCCCACTACTCCAGTCCACGGACAACACAACGTAGGCCGCAACGTGTCCACCTCACCACAGTTCACCGCCCGTTTCAGCAACCCAGAACCTTCTCAGCCGCCTCGATAGTTCTCTAATCAACCACTTACTATTCTAATATTAATTATCATTTATTTTGAGTTTACAAGAAAACACTTCATGCTGCATGACAGATTATCTACAAAAAACACCCCTGACCGGCTGCCGGCATCGGAAGACTTTAGTTCCCGATGCTGAGACTCAGAGCTGCCTTCACGTCAAGCCGCCAGGCCAAACTGCCATCTTCCAGCCGCCACACGTCACAAGGCACAGCTAGCGAAACCTTAGCCCGCCTCCCGCACCCGTACCGCACGCTTGTCATGCATGTAAACGCCCGGCACTCGCCGCCCGGTACCAGACCCCGTGTCACCAGCACAACTGTCACCTCCTCGTCACCAGAAGCCTCCGGCAGTGACGCTGCGTCAGACCACGATGTTGAGCTATAAGATGACGAAGAAGACGAAGGAGACTCAGCGCTAACGTATCCGCTGAGTACCATCCTACGGTAGGCGGCGTTGGTCCACGTCACCCGATCTGCAGCCTTAGAAACGAAAGCTGGACAGTCGTCGGCCTCGAGCCACCGCCTAAGGTCGTCATCATGGCTAGTATTTCCACGAAAACCCACACTCCAAACCTCGGTGACGCTCTCAATAGTCACCGACACAGCTGCCGCTCTGACCGGTTTCTGGGAAACCACCACTCCTGCTACTGGATGTACCGGCCAGAGATATGGAGATGCCCTCGTCATCAACCACGTCTCTTGTCTCTCCGGCGTGACCGGCATCAGCGGAAGCGTTACAACCGGCGCCGTGCTGACTGTGCAGGGTGGATCCCGAGTGGCCACATCCTCAGCTTTTCTCGACTTCCTCCCGCGTTTTCCTCCCGATGAACCACCTTTTCGCCTCGCTACCTCCCGCTTCTTTGCCTTACCGACGGCCTGGATGGGCTCTACGGTTAAACCTGGCGCTGCGCCAGCTGCCGTCGGCTTCGGTGCGATCGGTCGGTACCTCAACATAATCCTACCCATCTTCCATGCTGCGTCGTCGTTGGCCCTCCTCTCCATGACCTCCATACGAAGAAAAGAAAGAAGATTGCAAACGGCAAAACAAAGTCTAGCACTAGCAGTAATAGCCTCTGGTGGGAGGAGAACGGTTGTGGTGGGACGATGAGAAATTAAAAAAGAAGGTGGAGAGGGTAGAGCACACGTGTCGGTGAGATCACATGTTTCATGGTAACAGCTACGAAGACACGTGTAGGGTATGGGAGAACAGATGCTCGTGGTAGGACGAGGGAAGGCGGGGTGTCGGGAGGCTGGGAGGGCCGGCCAATGAAAGGACGCAGTGTGTCTAGTCTTGGCCGCGGAAAGTGGCCACGTAGCAGGGTGGTGAAAATTTTGGGAGGCGATTTCGAGATTCGAAACACGTGGTCGAATTGGACTCCTGCAGGGTATGGATCACCGTCCCCGCCAGCCATTTTTAGTACAAGGATGGGACACGTGGAGCATTGGATGGCGATTTGTATCCGCGCGCGATTCATTGGGCCAACCTCTACCAGCCTACACGCTACCCTATTTTAAGAATTTTTTTATACAATATATTTTTATTATTTTTCAAAAGTATTTTTTTAATTAATAATTCTTGAGAAGTTAATTAAATTTATAAATTCCCTAATGATAATCATCAAATTAACTTTCTATAATTATTAAAAATAAAAAATAATTCTAAATGATTTCAAATTTGATGAGGTTTGGTGTGGGCCATCTTTGACCTATAATAAAATTTTATTAGATTTAGAAATCATTTGACTCTACTAATGCCAAACTAATTTTTTCTTAACATACATAACCATTTATTAACTTAATTACAAAATTAAAAATCTGAATGGCAACCTAGTTAATTCATTTATTTTGAAAGATTAATCTCATTTACCTTTATCAATATTAATTTTAAAAGTTAAAATCATATACCAAAGTTAATTTAAACATTTTATCATTAACCTTAATAGTCTAATTAATCTTAACATTAGCCCATAAACAATACTAAGCCATAACTCACTACCAAAAATCATAAATTAGTTATTAATGTTACAACCTTAATGCATTAGCTTCATCGTTTTAGGCGTTTAGGATATAATCTACGGGCATAGTACTTTGAACCCATGGGCTAACAAGTTCTTGAAAATCTAAACCTCATTAACATTATAAAAAAATCATTATAAAAAATTTACCACATTTTTATTTAAAAAAATTAAAATTGTCTTTAAGCCTATAACAAATATTTAATATTTAAAAAATGAAAGCTCAAAGCCTAATTGACACTCCCAAGTCATATTGTCCTAGCACACACTATCAATAGATTATTAAGGCTACTAATTCATGCTTTATGTTTTGATCATTATTTTTGCTTATTTGTTTATTACTTTTTGATGTGAAAATTATTCCATTACATTTGTGTTTGTTTGAAAAAAGTTATAGTTTTGAACAAGTTAATTATATTTGGGAGAATTAAATTTTTGGATTTTAATTTCAAAATTGAACACATCATTATGAACGATATATCACATAAGGAGGTGAACATATCATTCCCTAATAGATTCAAATTTTAAAATTTTAAATTTATCTGAGTTACCATAATCAACTCAAGAAAGGACAACATACAACCCTAGAGAATCAAAATGATGTTCAATTAAGTGTTCGACAATAATAATATGGATAAGAGATAACTAATTTCATAATTAAAATTATGATAATATAACGATATACCTAAAGAAAATGATATCGTCTAATATTGATTATTTAAAAATGATGATAATGGTCGTTTAATTTTGAATTTTCTAAAGATAATTAATTAAATATTTTGAAAAGTTTGATTTTTGAAATTTCAATATGGGTTTCTAAATCTCCTACGAGCGTAAGTCCTCGTAGTTAATTACATCATAGAAAACTAGAGTTTTCTACGAATACTTTTGATTAAAATATAAGTAAAATTTTTATTTAAGAATTCAAAACTCGATGTCAAAGGAGGAAGTGATTGGAATTTTTAATCTAGATTGGATCAAATTTGAACACTTATTTCTATAGTCAAAGGAGGAAGCGTATGAGGCACCTAGGATTCTAAAAAAAATTCAGAAGTGTCCCAGATATCATAAGTGTTAGATTTGAATTTGATTAAAAAAGATTTAAGTTTGTATGGTAAATTTTATTAGAAAGTTGAGATTAGATTCTCGAAGGTTGAGGACTTATAGCATGAGCTTGCCTCAAAACCTAAATTTAAATTGGGTATAAAAAAATTAATAACTTGAACCTAGCTAATGAAGTGCAAATTTAGACTTACCCTAATCTGGATTGAGGAGCTAGCTAAACTATCTAAATACTTCAAATCATGAGTCTGATCTTTTATGTAAGAGTAAAAAGGACATTAATTATATATTAAATTTAAAGAAAGTGGGGTCGACATCTAGAGAAGACTCTAATTGGCCATTTTGACTTATATAATATATTTAATGCTTAAAGTAAATTATAATTACATATTTAAATACTTTTAAGTTTTTATATAATATAATACATACTAGTTAATTCGATAAAATGCTTAAGTCAAAATTAAGCAGTTTAAAAATTAGACTTAAAAAAATAGATTTTTTTTCTAAAGATTGCACAATATTTTCTTGACAGAACTGCACCTATTGGTGGGGATGTGCTTAATAAGGAAGAGAATGTTCAATATGTATGCATCATAATCAATATCAAATAATTAATATTAATAAATAAATCAATTAAAATTAAATGTACATAGGAAAATGACTTTTAATATTATATTCTAGAATTATAAAAAATTAAAGTAGTTGGGTAACACTGACAATAAGCCCAAATTTCTAATTCTAAGACTTAAGTGACTTTGAGAATGAGTCTTCTCATTTTCCACTTCTTCATCCTTCTACAGGACTTCTTGTATCGTCGAGTCCTTATATCTAAATGAAAAAAAAAACTTCCTCTCGAAAGGGGTGTATCTTTTCTCTTTGGATATTTTAAGATCATATAAATTTGGATCTCTAAATAAAGAGGAACTCTCCCTTATAAGATATCCCTTCCTCTTTGGATTATATATTAGATGCTTAATATCCTATCTCAAATAGTCACTTTAACTTAATTATAACTCAAATATAATTAAATTACATTTAAATGAAAAGTAAAATCTAGACTCTATAACTTTTAGGGTTATCCTAAGTAGTTATAATTAAAACATCCTAAATAGTTATAATTAATCTTAAGAAATTACTAATTGAAAGATTCTCAAATTCAAAGCCACGCTTGACCATGCTTTTTTAATATTAAAGGAAGACTTACGATTTTTGAAGCATCTACAAAAAAATATTGTTACTTTTAAAGCTTAATTTTTTTATTTATCCCCTTTAATTAATGCCCTATATGAGAATGATCATCTGCATTGGATTGAATTAACATAAATTATCTCTATCCTAGGAGTATAACTAATGCATAATCAATCACATTATAGAGTACAAAAAGTAAGTAAATAATCAATCAATCTAAGCTAGCAAACATAAAGCAGTTAAAGCTTGAAAAACCAGTACATAATAGAAAAGTAAATACCAGCCTAGCCTAAGACTATAGTTAGTTGTCCTAAAAAATCATCTAAAGTATGTGGGGTAGGTTGTGTGTGTTGGATATATCCTATAAAGGATAATCAGTTAAAGTTGTTTGAAATTTTGGTTGGTTGAAAGATTTAAGTGATTAAAATTTGAGTTTAACTATTATTTGCTTAAAATTGATTTTCAATTATATTTTAAAAGGTTATTGATTACCACATTTATTACTCACCGAGGTCATAAAATTTATTTAACCTTCCTTAGAACTAATTTTATAGTATTGTGGGTCTGAGTTAACTAGTGGTAGCCGATATCATTAAGTGATTTAATTAAATTTATTTAAGGTTTAAGGGTTATAAATTTTAATTAAAGTTTATTTATTGCTAGATTTAAAGTTAAATAATAATTTTTTGGATTTTTAAATCAATTATTAAATTTTCTAGAACTATTTGAATTATTTAATATATTTAATTAAAAATGGGTTAAAATATGACTTTTGGATTAAAGTTGATTTATAGAAAATTAGTATTTTTATAAACTATTTGATCTTAAGATGATTAGTTAGACTATAAGTTTGCTGGATTTTGATATTTTTATATTTTATTATGAAGGTTTAAAGTTTTGACTTATTTTTTACTTAAGTTTGTCTAGATTGTTAACTTTTTGATTTTGAGTAATTTTTAAAGGTTTAATATTTTTAATAAATATTAGATTTTTATTTGAGTTGAATACCTTTGAGTTTGCTTAATTTAAATTTCTCCAAAAATATTAATGATTTTTAAAAGTTTGATGTATTTATTTGAATTATTTAATTGGTTTAATTAAGGGCCTTTAATGGTTTGATTCTAAATGAATTCAAAACTTCTTGAAATAACCTCCAAAGATAAGAAATGAAATGAGGAGGGATTAGAAATTATTTGAGAATCTTTTGAAAATTTTAATTATTTTTAATTAATTAAATTAATTAAATATTTAATTTTAATTAAAATTAAATTAATCTTAAATTTAATGTCAAACCAAAAAAGTTTTAATTTTCTTTGATTAAGCGTTCAATTTTATAGAGTTTGATATATTATTAATAATTTTTTAGGTTTAAGTTAGATTTATTATACTTTTTGAAAATTTTAAGGCTTAATTAAGGGTTTAGGATTAAGTAACTTAATTAAGGGGCTTAATGGTTTAAAAAATCAGTGAAAAAGTTTCTTAAGACTGTATGTGTTACTAAGTTTGAATGTTCAAAGTTTCAAGTCAATAGGAAGTGTATCCTAATTCTTAAAATTTTTCTATGTTCTTTAAATGAGTTTTTAATTTTTGTCCTTAGTGATGTCTCTAAGTTAAGTAGGTTTGAATAAAATCTTTCTAACCCTTGGCCAACATATATATGCATAAACACAATAACAATCAATTCCTAGATTTAGGAGAACCTAAGCTAAGTGGTGTGTGCTTTTTAAGCATGCAATGATTAACATAAAATTTGTAATTAAAGATTAAACAAGCGAACAATCAAGACATGATTGTTCACTAATCACCCCCATTAATTCTATTCATTCAAGCTTAATTTTTGCTTAACATTTTAATGGATCTCTCAATTATT